TGCTGAGGCTGCCAGCTCATCCTGTCCCAAACTGAACTTCTCCTCTCTCCCTTCAATGCCAGCTCACCCTTTCCATTCCACCCAGTGTCTGCTCTTCACATGGCCATTCCACACTCAAAACTGGCCCAACCCACCCTCCCCCGCCCTCTCCCGGTTTCCACATGAAGCTCAGTGGGCAACTCTCCTCTCTGTCCCCACCTCAGGGTCTGTGCCCATGCTGCGTCCCTCCCCCTCTATCCCTGCCCATCCTTCAAGGACCAGTCCAGCTCTTGCCTCTTTTCTTATGTCTTCCCCTGGTCTCTTTTATCTTTGCCTCTTTGCTTTTGTACCATGCATTTAGGAATATCACCAAATACTGTAGAATATTTATTTGTTTTTTAAATATATCTTTATTGATTTCAGAGAGGAAGGGAGAGGGAGAGAGATAGAAACATCAATGTTGAGAGAGAATCATTGATCGGTTGCCTCCCGCACGATCAGGGATCAAGCCCGAAACCCAGCCATAGGCCCTGACTACGGTAATTGAACCGTGACCTCCTGGTTCGTAGGTCTACGCTCAATCACTGACCCACTGCGCCCGGCTACTGTAGAGTATTTAAATGGTCCCTGCTTATACCCTCAATCAGATTCATTCATTTTAAAACTGTTTATTGAATTGACATTGAAGGTAAGAAGTGTCATGACTCTAGGATCCACAAACAGGGCCAGCATAGTCAATGTAGGAGAGCTGCTGTTTTTGACACTCAGCTTCCCTTCACCTTAAGAAAAAGATCTCAGTGTTCTTGTGGGCATTCCCCAAAGGATTAGTCCATGTTGTATGAGCGGGGCTGACCACTCCCCCTCCGATGAGGAGTGAGCATGTGAGAGAGACGGGCTCAGTTCACAGATGGTAGGTGAGTCTGGTTAGTCCAACGGAAATGAGCCCTAAGTTCTCATTAGAACTGAGGATGCTACACTGGTGGAAAGCGAGCCAGGGGCTCTTGGCCATCATTATTGCCTCCACTGGGAGAGGGCCTGATGGCACTGGGAGAAGGCCCGCCTGAAGGGGAAGCCAGCCAGGAGGAAATCAGAGTCGAGGGATGGAAAGCAACCATCTTTGGGGATGGGTAACATCTTTTGAGCACTTAGATCCAGCCGTGACTGTTCCTTGAAGTCAATAAATTCTCTTTTTGCTCAGGTTGATTTCTGTTGAGATTCTGTAATTTGTCACTAAAAGAGTTCTGTTGCGGTGCTTCCTGCAAGATCCACGCTCCATAATGTCTGTGCAAGTGGATGACACCTCCCAGGACAGCCCTCTGGCACCTGACCTGAAACTGCTCCCCAGACCCTAACTAGCCTGGGCTGATTCCCAACCAGCTCAGGTTGGGCGGAGGGTCAGATGAAAGTGATCAACTGGCTTAACAGGGCTCTGGACGAGCGCTGCCTTTCTTCCTGCAGCGGATCCTCCCCACAGCGCCCTGCCTGGTGCTGACATCCTCCAGCTGTTCAGTGCAGACCTGGAGCTGCTGTGCTGCCTTATGCCGGCTGCTTCGTGCAAATAGTTGGTGTTGCATCTCTGCCAGCGACAGAGGTGAGCCTCTATCATTTGATATGATAGGTGTATCTCAAAACGAGATAGGATCCTCATCTTGAGCAAGAGTTATGGTAATGTGTTCATAAATCTAAAGTGGCCTTATCAGTTAGCGGTGGTGATAAGGTGACTACATAGAAAGAAAAACTTAGCGTAGTGTTCATTTAATTATGCCTATATTTTATAAGCACCACCTAGAAATTAGAGGCCAACCTTGTTAGTCATGTCGCACAGCCCTAAGCCAAGTAGCTGTTTATTAAATACTTTTGGTGAGTAACAATGCTCTCTGCCTTGACGTTATTTAGAGATACTACTGGACAAATAGAGAACAAGGTCTTGTTCTCTGTACAGTGCTCACTTCCACCTCTGGGTCAGGGAATGATCACGTGTTCCTGAGCCAGTGGTAGGAATAGTTTTATTTTCCTCCTCAACTTGGCCTCTGATTCTTGGAACATTGTCAGTCCCCACAATCAGAGGCTGGGGAACATTTGAAAATGGTTTTAACAGAACAGGTTCTGCCTTGAACTAAATCACGGCTTCACCTCAAATGTCCCCAGGCTGCCCGAGCTGACTTCCTGTGCCTACATTTAGTCCCTGGCGAAGGCCACACGTGTGCACGCCCTTGGCTCAGCCCCAAGCTGGCGCTTCTCCAGCAGAAGGTGTCCCTCTTGCTTAAGTGCTTCTGCCTGGTGAATACTTGGAACATTTCGGGTGCCCTCCCTGGCCCCTTTTAGTTAAATTCCTCTGTAGCAAAAGCATAACAAAATAATTGCAGTGACCTTCCGCTCAGGAGCCCTCTAAACAGCTCCTGATAGAGGCACTTTCAGAGGTAAGACTTGGCCAGCCACTGGTCTGCATGTGAGATGGGTGGGCAACGAGAGATCTTACAAGAGAGTAGATTTATTTAGAATGTGTGAGGAATAAGTTCAGCTAGTTACTATTATTATTTTCTGAGACAGAATATATCCCAGGATATTAGACTTTAAAGATGTGGTAACAATTTCACTTTTACTATAGTCAGGAGTTGGGGAATGTTTCACTCATCTCCTTTCCTTCACTGGGGTGGGGTAGCCACTGATTTTAGGGAAGACTCTAAGAAAGTGGCTCTCAGCCTTGGGGGCACATTAGAATCATCTGGAGATTTTAAAAATTGTTGATGCTTGGAGTCCACCCTTAGAGAATCTAAATTATGTGGTTTGGTATGCATCCTCATGTCAGGATTTAAAAATCTTCCCAGTATTTATAATATATTACTAGAGGCCTGGTGCTCGAAATTCATGCACTGGGGGGTGGGGGTGGGGGGTGTTCCTTAGCCCAGCCTGCACCCTCTCACAATTCGGGACCCCTTGTGGGATGTCTGAGATCCGGTTTCGACCTGATCCCCACAATCCAGGCCGAAGGACCCCTCCAGTACACAAATCTGTGCACTGGACCTCTAGTTTGCATATAAGATCTTTGGTTAATCTTCCCCAATATATAGGAATGCATGTTTATCTCCATGAATAATAAACAGGATGTGGACAGTTTGGAAGTTCTTCTGATGAATTAGGATTAAGCAGCCACAGATCTCTTTTTCAAATACTGCGGAAGCCACCTTCCTTGCTTAACTGTGTGTAGGATGTAGCAGTTTATAAGTTATGACATAGTCACTTGCAACCTGGGACCCCTCGGGGGATGTAGCAGTGCGCCAAGTGGCAGGCAGCCAGGGAGGAGCCCGAACTGGGGCTGGGCGCTGCGCCACTCATGCTCATCCCAGCCCGCTATGCCTGCTGCTGCCATGCCACTTGGTAGTGCTGCCACAGAGTCGCGAGAGGCTCCCACCGCTACAGCTGCACTCGACAGTCGTGAGCCTGGCTTCTGGCTGAGGGGTGCTCCCTCTGTGGGAGTGCACCGACCACCAGGGGGAAGCTCCTGCATTGAGTGTCTGCCCCCTGGTGGTCAATGTGCATCATAGTGACTGGTTGACCAGTCATTCCATCTTAACGGTTGCTTAGGCTTTTATATATATAGATAGTTGTATAATCTGACCAGGTCCAGGAGAGAAAAATAATGGCTAAGTCCAATCTGTTTGAACAGGTTATCACTGCCTAGAATTTACTTCTTATGTGTTGCAGAATACAACTTTATAGTAAAGAAATTTGGAAAAATCTTTTTTCCCCCCAAATTGTAATTGAGGATTGTTTGTTGCAAAGGATGACTGTGATGCCTAAATGAGGTTATGCAGCCATGCGAGGGAGGGTGGGGTGATGGTGGTGGTGGTGGTGGAGATTGGGGTGTGTCTGGGGGGTGCGGAGCAGCAGTGCTTTGTAAACTAGGAGTTGCAGTCTCACACACCTGCCTGGGAGTGGGGCTGGGGTCAGGCAGGGACAAGAGGGAGAAGGGAGGGCAGGATAGAGGGTAAAGAGGAGTGGCAGAGCTGGGGGGAGGCAGGAGTTCTAGCTCAAAGGGGAACACTGACCCAGGTCTGGCTGACTGTTGCCAAATGAATCTGGACCTAATGTTACCAGAACATTTGGGTTTTGTTTTGTTTTTAGGAGAAGACATGCTAGTATTTGTATGCAGAATCCTTCAATTTTAAGAACACCGAGTGCCACAAGAACATATCTGAGGACTAGACCCGTAGATCATTTTGTGAACTCTAAGACTGTACAGAAGTGGGAACCTGTTTAAAATCAGACTGTTTAAAAACGTAAATCACTCCTTTCAAAACTCATTTATATTCCCATTATTTTATGGATTGACTCTCCTCTCTGTATGCTGCTTTGCTCGAGGAAGAGTTCCCTATCCCTGGAGACACTAGAGAACATGTTAATATATATTTTTGGAGTCTCCTAAGCTTTAAGGAGTTGACATGCCAGGTGGGGAAGATGACTGGGGAAGAGGTCTGAGCGGGAAGGAACATTACCTGCTGTATTATGTGGTTTCATTTGCCAGAGTCCAGCAAACTTTTGTACCAAGCTGGCAGGATCAGAGTCCATGGGGTGGTTCTGGAAGAGGAGGAGGAGGGGCGTGTCATAAAGGAATGCTGGTGCAGTACTTGCAGAGTTCCTGGTGCACAATGGGCCTGCTTATGCACAGAGAGTGATCTCAAGAGAGGCACAAGGTAGGGAGTATTTAAGGTAAGAGGCAGGAGGGATCTGAGAAGGAAGTGCTGAGAGTCAGAAGTGAGTAAGACTGATGTATCCTCATGCTCTTAGAAGCTGCTAGATTTTTACATGGAATTTTGGCTGTGGAACCAGCGAAGACAACTGTGCTGCTCCCTCATTCTATGACTTAAAGGCATGCAAAAGAAGAACAAATGTGAGAGGGAAAGGAGAACACTGTTGTTTGGACATGAATGTCCTTAATAGAGTCCAGGAGTGACAGTGAAATTATTAAAACATACAAATGATAAATTGATTTATGCGGAACTGAGCTGCACTTATTTCCCCACACTTTCTTTGAAAGTCTCTTTAGTTCCATATTTATTGTATAAGGCAGCTTGTAATGCCCTCTCAAGTGTGGAGAAACAGCAGAATTCCTCAAACAAAAAAACAAAGAAACATCAAAAGGTTGTAAAAGCAATTTCTTCAAGCTTAAGACATCATATCATCGTATTATCTAGAAATGGAAAACAGGAAAGAGAACTGTGGCAAATCCCTTTGTGCAGCAACTGTAGTATGTGTAGTCTCACCTAAGTGTATGTGTTTTGTGGATCTGATTTTGGGTTTTAAGTAGGACACACCTAGGCCCTTTTTAAACCTCTCCCCCAAAGTGAAGCAACTTTGAAATGAATGAACATGAGCAATTACTACCATCACCAGTTTTCCCTTCCACAACATACTACCCACGTGGGTTTCCTGTTTTGCATTAGGAATTGATAGAGTCACAGCAGATTAGAATAGAAAGGGAGTGTTGATATCCTTCATTACATCATCTTCACTTTGCAGATAAGAACTCTAAGGGCCAAAGAGTTAGAGGGATCTGTCAGGGTCACCTCGTCAAGTAGTGACTATAATGACATTCTTGATCTTATCCAACATCTAGTGCCTATTTCTTCTCAACAGAATTCCAGTTTGGGAATTTTCCTTCCCCAGTGTGACTCAGGGATAACCAAAGTGACACCATTTCCAGCTTCAGGGTAGACCCTGATTAATCTAAGCCAATCAATGCATGCCATTCTCTTGGCAATTGATCCAGTGTGAGTACATGACCTATGATGGCCCAGTCAGACCAAAAGAGAGGACTTATATCTCATATTTGCAGGAGAAGGCTCTCTCTCCTGCATGTAGCCTCCATTACCATTAGGAGCCATTTCTTCACCATCAGGGGTCTAGCTGACTCAGGTGTCTAAGCACAATTAGAGCACATAGATCAGCCTCCTCTACTAGGGGAAGTGCACTCCTCATTGTACCACACAATTGTCTCACAATTCCCAGCAGGCGAGGCTACTCCACTGGGCACTTGGCAAAGGGAACATTCCACCTTTTCCAGGTTGCTGAGCAGAATTGGTGAGCAGCCACAGAATAGCACTGAGGGAATTTCTGTGGCCCAGTCTTTGGTGACTGAACCTTATGCTGGCCCCCACTGCTGTGAATGGCACTGCCTGCATTTGCACATGGCTAATGAGACAGAAGAGGAAGAAGCTACCTGAACTAGCCAAGATATTTTAGTTGTAAGTGACAGATGATACCATTCAAGCTGTCTAAGTAATAAAAGAAACATATTGGCTCAAGTAAATAAAAAGTCTTTGGAGGTGTGACTCAATTTATAGGCTCAAATGATGTCACTAGTCACTTCTTGGCTGTCCTATCATCCACACTGACTTTATGCAGACTCACGTCCCACCTGGGGCAGGATAGGAGCAACAACCTCAGACACATCTGCTCCCCTGCTCAAGGCCAATGGGAAGGAGGTGAGCCTCCCTCTTTTTGAGGTGATGCAAATGTCCTAAAAGTTGGGGTGCCAGACGTGGGTATGAACCTTTTTATTCTTAAGCAGAAGCTCCAGGTGTTGAGCTCCCTCATAATTATGGGTCACCCACTGGGGATGGGATTTATGGCCAAATCGTGTCGCAGCTTTTCTTATGGTTTCCCTTGTTTGCCGATGTGAGGAGGTCAACTTCAATGTCATTTGCCCAACGTCAAGGGATCCCTCCACCAGTGCTTAGGTTTTTTTTCCAGATGGAATCATTCCATATGCAGGGGTAGATTCCTTGGGTCTGTGGAGGAGGGGGTGAATTCATCCTCTTCCTTCGGCACCTTTTTGAATGAAAACCGCTATGCAAATGTCTTCTTGCCTCTCATTGGCTCTGGTTGGATCACGTGCCCATCCCTGAGCCAATCACTATGGCAGTGCTTGAATGGCCAGGCCTGAGTTGCACATTTCTCCCTGAACAGGAGAATGTAGGCTGAGAATGGCAGCAGATGCCCAGGGGGAAACTACTGTTCTGTTACCCAGGAGACAGGAGAACAGGTGCTGGCTATTCAACCTGATACCTACAAGCTCTTCTAAATGTGCAGATATTTTTAGTTTATACAATATAGTGCAAAGAGCATAGATTTGAAATAAACCTGAGATTTCAGTCCCACTCTCTGAGATTCAACTCCACAATTGTTACATGGAAAAGGATTCCTTTACCCAATTTGATCCAGGTGTTCTGAGGCTTGAATGCGACCCTGTAGGAAAGTCCTTTACAAAGGTTAAACCAAAGCCCTTTCGCAAACGTTAAGGGCTAAACCAAAACGAGGGACTGTTTTCAGCATTGCTATTACTGTTATCATCTTTTCAGAATTTCTCCCACTCAAGCTCTGATTATGATGCAATGCTTTTACAGGCAGGACATGAAGAGTAAATGCATGATAAGCAACTAGAAAGAATTTGGCCAGGGTTGCTGTGAGCATATATCTTTGTGAGAATCAGAAATAAATTCCTCCCTCCACCTCTGAGTGCTGCAGTTCCCAGGGAACATGGTTTGGCAAATGGATAGCATCTTTGTGCAAAGAAAAAAAGGCCTGAATGCTAGGTTGCATGGTTTGGTGAGTGGAATGAATGTCAGATGTCAACTGTTCCTGATCCCTTGGTAGGAGGGTGGGAGGACAGGGTGAGGAGATGTTCCATGCAGCGTACCGCTTGCACAGCTGTGCTCTGTGCCCTGAACTTCGGTACTGAACCATCGAGCAGGCTGAACTCTGCAAGCCTAACTCCTTGTTTTCCTGGCAGCGTCTATCTGACCCTCTAAGACCATTGATCACACTCCCCTTTTCCTGAGCTTTTTCACTTCATGCTGAATGCAGCAGTCATGCTGTCTCTTAGTTAACTACCCACTAGCATCCAGATTCTGCTGGCTTTTCAGATGCGCACCATATACCATTCCAACGGTGACGAAGAGAATCCTTCCTTCTTAACCATCCCGACGAGGGGTGTTGTGGAGGGCAGGAGTGGATGCAGCGCACAGGTTGACCACAGTTGGCTGTTACTGGAAAGTCAGTGCTGATCTCTCCACAATGCTCAGGAAGAGGGATGAAGAGCACAGGCAGCTTCACCTAGACTGACCACCATGTTTGCCATTCTAAATCCTCCCGGCAACAACTCCGGAAAGAAATTATTTGAACAAGATCCAGCCAGCCTCCAGGGAGCCAGGGATGCGATGCAGTAGCCTTTGTGTTCCTATGTCTGAAAGTCTTCCTGTTCTTAAGATTATCCTTCTCTTATGGGAAAGGTGGATATAGTGGTCCCCCCTTATCCATAGGGGATTTGTTCCAAAGTGCCCAGTGGGTGCCTGAAATTACGTACAGGACCAAACCCTATATGTACTATGCTTTCCCCCACACATACGTACCTATGATAAAGTTTAATTTATAAATTAGTAAGAGAGTAACAATAATTAATAAAATAGAGCAATTAAAACAATATACTGTAATAAACATTTTGCGAATGCTCTCATTCTTTCTCTCAAAATAGTGTGCCATAGTCACTCTTCTTATGATCGTGTGAGATGATAAAATGCCTTATTACGTCAAGAAGTTTCACCTTTTCACTTTAAGGGAGCACTTAATGGCTTCTCTGGTGTGTCTGAATTGCCAGCATCACTGATTTTGCACTTTGGGACCATGATTTAGTAAAGTAAGGGTTACTTGCACACAAACCTGTGATTCTGTGACAGTCTATTTGATAACCAAGATGGCGGCTACCGGGTGACCAACAGGCAGGGAGCGTGTGCAGGTGGGGAGGCTGGACAAAGGGATGATTCACATCCCAGGCAGGACAGAGTGGGACATCACAAGATTTCCATCACCCAATGCAGGACAGCATGCAATTTAAAAGTTAAGAACTGGAATTTTCCGTTTAACATTTTTGGACCATGGTTGACCGCAGGTAACAAACTGCTGAAAATGAAACCATGGATAAGGGGAACTCTTATCCTGTAGTTAGACCCACAAGGAGCTTGCAATGTTGAGTTGTGACCATGTTGCTCCTTTCACTTCATCGTTGATATACTGGGGGTACGCCCCCCAAAGTGAGGTGGGCCAGAATTAACTGGTCACCACGATGTCATGGGGTGGTTTGGGTGAACTGGGTCTTAGTTGAAAGCATGCTCAGGTCTCTTTAGCTTAGAAAACACCTTTGCTTGACACTGCTACTCTTGCCTCATTTTGCTTCTTTACCCAGAAAATAGCCGGCTGCTTCAGCAGCCATTTTCTCACTGTCTCCTTGCTCTTTTATCTCCCCTTTCCTTCATTTAGTTGGTGCTTCCATTTGTCCCCCTCTGTCCACAGATCCATTCTCTGCCCGCCCTGGGATCTGCTGCCCTTGGTTTCCGGTTGGTTCACCTAAAGGGAGGCCCAGCAGGAGACTGCAGTGTGCGAGGGCGTGAGATGAGGTATTGGCCACCTTGGACCCTCCATGGTGGCCTCGACAAGCGTCTGGCAGGGTCTGTATTCCTCGGCAGCCCCAGTCCTGGTGGGAGGGGTTCATCTACGTGTCCAGAGTCACTTCATCTCTGATTTGATTTCATCTCTTCTCTTCTGCTCAGGGAAGGCATGGCGCACGCTTTCACTTCCCGCTCCCTCTACCAGGCAGCTCTTATGTGCTGGGGAAGGAAGAGGAAAGGGACAGGGACAACTCTCTCTCTTTATAACTAGTCACCGAGATAGTTCTGTCTGCTCACGTCCCTGGCTAACACCGAAGGCACACTGAGGCCGACAATGGGCAAGGGTCCCAATGCGGATTCTCCCAGGGTGGGCCAGGGCAGTGATGGCGAACCGATGACACGCGAACTCATTTTTTTGGTTGATTTTTCTTTGTTAAATGGCATTTAAATATATAAAGTAAATATCAAAAATATGTCTTTGTTTTACTATGGTTGCAAATACCAAAAAATTTCTATATGTGACACGGTACCAGAGTGAAGTTAGGGTTTTTCAAAATGCTGACACGTCAAACTCAAAAGTTTCGCCATCCCTGGGCTAGGGCAAGCCGTGGTAACAAACCACTCCCCCGTTTGAATAACTTAGATCAGCAAAGGCTTATTTCCCTTTTTATGCTACTTGACCACTGCAGGTCATTAGAAGCTCTGTTCACCAGACTGAGAGACTGGGGCTGATGGGACAGCCCTGGTTTCCAACGTGGCCATGCTCAACTGGGGGAACAAGAGCTCGCAGAACTTGTATCAGGACTGAAATGCTGCTGCCAGGAGTGGCTTACACTTGCATTTCATTGGCCAGAACGAGTCACGTGGTCCCATTTACCTGGAAAGGGGACGGGAGTATAATCTTACCATGTGCCTAGCCAGGGTGATCGGAAATATTTGGGAACAGTACTGAACAGAACAGTCGCCACAGGGCACATGCGCGAGTTCTTCAGAAGGTTCAGCCGGGTCTAGTTCTCTGGCAAGAGAGAGCAGATTCCAGTCTGAAGCCCATTGTCCCGCCCCGCACATTATAGGAATAGCGGCTTTCTTCTGGAGCCCCATTCCTGGCAGGCAGCCCTGCGGACGGCTGACAAGATGGCTGAAACCCAGCTGCTATTTGTAAAGGAAACTATTGTGTTCAATGTACAACATGAAATTTACCAATTTAATTATTTTAAAGTTTACAATTTGATGTATGAGTACATCCGCAATGTTGTGCAACCATCACCACTATCTAATTCTAGAGCATTTTCATCATCCTCAAAGGAAACCCTGTACCCCTTGAACAGTCACTCCCCTTCCCCCCTCCCTCCAGCCCCAGGCAACCACTAATCTGCTTTCTGTCTGTGACTTTGCCTATTCTGGGTATTTCATATAAGGGGGACCTCGTGTCTTTAAGCTTAGCTACTTTTTGGGGTGTCCTCATGACTCGTGGGAAGCTCACGAGTGTTGTCATACCAAATGGTGGCAGTGCAGGTGCTCCACAGCTCCCTGCTCCATCCACCTCTGTCGCTCCAATTGCCATTTTCCTGACTCAAAGGCAGAGCAGCACCCTGCTGCCGAGCAGGGAGTGAACAGCCTGCCTCCCCTTCTTTCAAGTTCCTCAGTCTCCATGGGTGAATCTCTATGGGAAGCCCTCCCACACAGGAAGGCTGGGAGGAAGGTGCATTCCTGTTGCCCAGAGGAAGAAAGGCCACGGTGCCCCTGCCAAATCTCTCCGATTCCCGCCCTCTTCCCAGCAGAAATGCTGAGGTGGGGGTGATTAATAATTAATATTAACCACAGTTAATCAATCCTGGAGGAGGGCGGCATCTGGCCCCATATCTTTTCTGTATTCTTCAGAATTTGCTGCTGTTGTTTTTAGCTGTGGGCCCGACTGCCACGTCTGCTGCAACCATAAGGTTTGGTATCTTCTTACACATCATTTTGGGTAATGTTCCTCCCCTACTCAACAACTTTCTATGTCTCTCCATTATGAATGCAAATTCCAAACTCTTGACTTGGCATTCAAGGCTCTCTACAAGCTACTTTCAATGGAGCTTTCTAGCTTCCTTTGTTACCACCCCCAGCACGAACTCTGTGTTCCTTTCAGGCTGGCCTGCTCCCTCACTGCCCCCAGAATGGCCCTGCTCTGTTGGGGTTGGCGTCCTTTATTCTAACAGCCCCCCACGTGGGATGTGCTTTCTCTCTTCCTCCCTGTGAGGCTCTTTGCCGTTAAGTCCTCTCAGTTTTCCTCGGCCCCCAGTCCTTTCTCCCCTCTGAACTCTGAGGCGTGGTCAGCACCCTCGGAGCATGTGTCCTGCTGCCTCATGTGATGAGTGACCTCCTCACATGTTTATGTCTCCCGTGCTGGGGCGGGGTGAGTTGCTGAATTGCAGCTACCCCTCCCCTCCCTTCCCCTGCTGTGTCCTCAGAAAGGGCCAGGAGCAGAGCAGGCAGAGGTTCTGTTAGCCAAGGCCACAGAACCCGAATCTTTTCCTGGCCCCGTGAGTGTGGTGTTAGGAATGTGAAGGAGGTGACTGGAGGGCTCAGGCATCTTCCAGGGACACCTGCCCAGGCCAAGCTGGGGTTGGGCGTCTAGAAGAAACGATCATGATGTTCTCCTTGGGGACTTTTCAGGATGACCCAGAAGTACATTCTGTTGTGACCAGCTTTAGGCGCAGGGATGAGAACAGACGAGGGCAAGGAGTGTGCAAGGAAGGCGAACTGGGGAGGGCAAATGAGACCAAAACAGAGAAAAAGGCAAGGTAGTGTGGGGGAGGGGAATCAATTTAGGGACCCCGAACCTTGGAGGAGCAGAGGCAGGCTCTCTCACATGTTGCTGAAGGAAGGAAACCCTGCCGAGTGGCTCCCACTATTTTTACATTGTCCCCCGACTCCCACACCAGGATTTCCCCTTCCCTCACCAGTTATCCTCAAGTGGCCGGCCTTAATAGGTCAAAAGCAGCCCCGACAGCCCTGCCCAGAGTGTATCCCTCCTAGGCAATCCCCTCTCCGTGCTGTCCCTGGCTTTGTTTTTGTGTTTTTGATTTGGTTTGTTCCAGCAGGAGGGGCTGACTTGTGCCTTGGAGGAATTATTCTGAGCCTTGGAGAGATGCCCAGAGGGACAGAGCTGTGGCCACATCCCAGTGCAGCCTGACCTTTCTCAGGGTGGCCTAGAGCTGCCCGAGGCCAGAAGTTTCCCTTGGCCGCAGGCACGTGGAAGTGGCACGCCCAGGGCCTGCTGCCTCAGACTCTGCAGGGGTTTGGGGGTGTGTTTTCCCTTTGAGGGTCCCCAACCAGGCCTCCCTACATCAGGCCAAGCCGGCAGCATGCCATTTTAACTCACTGACTTCTGCAAATCCCTTGCTTCCCTAAACGCAAATGCAGAGGCTCCGGGCACAAGGCATTATCAAGCAAGTTCTAATAGTCACGCTTCTGAAGGGCTTGTGAAGGCGCACTCGGTCCTGTCTCAGTGTTATCTCTGCACACATTCCCCTTCATGAAGACCTCTCACCCCGACTGCTGTAGCAGCTGCTCCCTGCCTCTCCCCACTCCCCGCCTCACCCCACTCCCCTCCAATCCATGCCAGCTGTGGCTGCTGGGTTCATTTTATTATGGGCCTTCTCTTATCTTGTCAGTCTTCCACTCACAAACCATCAGTGAGTCCCACTGCCCAGGAAATAAATAACTAGTTTGTGCGCTTACTCCAAAGGGTACAAGCCACACAAGCTCTGCCACCCTTCCCCGAGGCCAGGTCTGGGAGCTGGGGAGAAGGGAGGAGCAATGTGCTGGGGTCCTATCACCTGTCCTCATTCCATTCCCAGTTCCCGGGGGTGCCACTTGGAATGTTGGCCTTGGGATGATCCTGCCTCAAGTCAAACAGCCTTTATGCTTGGGGGAAGTTCCCTCTGTTCATAGGCTTTCCTCAAGTCCTCTCACAACAGTTATTATATGATTTAGGAAAGGGAGGTTCTAGGTCAGTGGTTCTCAACCTTCCTAATGCTGCGACCCTTTAATACAGTTCTTCATGTTGTGGTGACCCCCAATTTCATTGTTACCAACATAATTAAAGCATAGTGATGAATCACAAAAAGAATATGTAATTATATATATGTTTTCCGACGGTCTTAGGCGACCCCTGTGAAAGGGTCGTTCAACCCCCAAAGGGGTCGTGACCCACAGGTTGAGAACCGCTGTTCTAGGTGAATCTCCAAGGTTGTCCCTAACGATAAGCCGGTGATGGCCAGGGCTCGGCCCACGTGATCTCTCATCGCCTCCCTTACCCACCTGCGGTGGGACCAATCTACTTCTGCTCAACAGGCCCAGCTGCAGCCTCAACAAACCTTTTCCACACGCCTGCAGGAAGCCGCTGTGGTTCCTTGAGTTTGGCAAGTGAGATGAAACCGGTTTCCCCTACTCTCAGCTCTTCCAGGGAGTGAAATGTTAAACTTGTAAGATTGAATACAAGAAGACGAGAGCAAGCCACTAGAGTGGATCCAAAAGTCAGGGGGTGGCTCACTGCTGGGGATAATGATATTCTGAGATTTAAACGAAGTGTTTTCCCTCATTTCCTTGTGCCCCCAGCCCTCCCCTGTATTCAGGCTAAAGATTCAGCTTCTCCCCCACCCTCCGCCCCCCTTCTTGGTCAATGAATGACTCAGCAAAAATGCAGAGAGAAAGCTAAAGGTCCAAAGAGGCTTGAAACTCCTGGCAGACATGGTAATTCGAGGAAAAAAGAAAAGCTTCTGAGTTTTAAAGGCTTAAGTCTTGGAGTTTCAGAAGCATGGCTTTCAAGGGGACTCAGGACACAGAGAATAGATGATGAGTAGAAAGAACGAAAACAGGCACACAGGGAAAGCTATTCCAGAGTGAAGTCGAGGTGGGAGGAGAAATATTGGGGAGAAGTAGGTCCTTGAAAAGAATTCCTGTTTCTTGCATGTAACTGGGCCAAGGCTGGGTGAGGAATGATGGGGCCCCAGATGAGTGTGAAACTG